CCATGGCTAGCCTTAGCTTCTGTAAAGCTAAAAAAAAATGTACTTACTGATTTTTCTCTATTATCCGTTAATGAAAAATATCTCTGATGAGGTTGCATCGTGCTAATTTATTGGTATTTTAATTTTCTACAAAAAATAAATGAAGCAGTAGTTTAATCCAATCATGATAGAGAATAAAAAGCAGGTAAACGTACTAAAAGTAACTAGCAGATTAGCAGTAGCACAGCTTTGGATTTAATTTGATGTGGTTAAGCTACCAACTATTTATTATAACTTTAGGTTGCATTTGTTTCTCATATTGCAGAGACAATTTTCAGTAAATGTTGGGAACTAAAGCCGAGATTGAGTCTTTCAAGCAGTATTTGACCAATTTCTTTAGGAATTAGCTTTGACTTCCAAACTATCTGTGATGTCACAAATCATGCTCGTAGGCCCATTAAAATCTGATTTTCACATTACTTAAATGTAGTGTTTCAACAAACGATGTCTCTGAACACAATCCAGGCAGGTATTACATTGTCACCACGACTTCATTGCAAAAACAATTTAGTAATATACAAGGATGTGGGCAATATAACGCATTAATATTCTGTAATCATCAAACAGCTGTTACTTATCCAGCAGACACAGAGAAAGCTCACTAATCACCCTTCTGGAGTTGGGTTTGTTTTCACCTGATGGGAGTCCGATATTCACTCTCTTTCAGCTCTGTTTTTGGTCTCCACTCCTGAGGGAAATATCTGGCTCTGAAGCTGCTACATTGTCCACTTTTTTCAGCTAGTCTATAACTGTGTCTGTCTGCTGTTTGGTGCAAAGCAGGTAGTTTACGGTGATGAAGCTACCTGCTCCTGCTGGAAACACTGAGACTGAATCCGCCAAAATCAGTACAAGCAACACTTTTAACTTTAGACATGATCCATGGTGCAGCTTTAAAGTCCCATTGAAGGCACTGAAGTATCAAGTAGTGTCAAAGTTCAGTAAATGTGCTGCTGTAATGTCAGCTACATGGTTCTGCTATTTTATGTCCAGCCCTGTCTATATTTGTTTACATTTTGTTCTATTGGTTCCAGTAAAAGTCTGCTGAACTAGCTTTTAGTAGTTCCTGCTTGCAGGATGCACAGACAAATATCACTGGATTACTTTGATACTGAAGAAAAAAGTTCCCTCCAGTCAGAAATCAGTGTTTCTTCTTGTTCCTACAGTCTACAGTTCCTAGAGTTTGACACTAGAAGGATGTTTTCACATTCATCTGCTGAAATTGGAAAGTTTCTCTGAACTCACTGAACATCTGACGTTAAGGGGCGGGGCCTATATGTATGATTTGTGACATAACAAATAGTTTGGAGGTGGTAAATGGACCTGTACTTGTATAGCGCCTTTCTAGTCTTCGGACCACTCCAAGCGCTTTTACACTACGTGCCACATTCACCCTTTCACACACATTCACTCAGTGATGGCAAAGTCCATCGAACAGAAACTAACTCATTCATACACATACACACCAATGGCATCGGGAGCAATTTGGGGTTCAGTATCTTGCTCAAGGATACTTCGACATGTGGCACCAGGAGCCGGGGATCAAACCCACAAACTTCCGATTAAGGAATGACCCGCTCTGCCTCTGAGCCACAGCCGCCCAAGGGTAACCCTGGTCCAGTATGTAACTTATAGTGCATTGTTGAAGCCTCCAGTGCACAGACACTGATAATAGACTTTACAGTGAAGGAGGAGACATCTTGTGTCCAGCAGGAAAACTTTACAAATAAACAACATTAGCATATTCATAGATTCTTGAATTTATAATGCAGTAGAAGGAGTAGATGTCTTTTTAAGGATTTTAAGGTGTAAAATATGACAATTTGTAGAACAATGTATGTCTGAAGAGGATCTTTAAGGTTGGGGAAAGATTGTGATTTAGGTTAACTTCTGAGTAATGTTGTAGTCACTACTAGTGGTAAGTATTCCAAGATTGCCTATTTTGGCAATAACTTCAGTACCAACATTTTTGTGATTTGCCAGGTATGTTATTTAACAACTTTTACTCATTATGTTAATAGAAAACATTATTTGGCATTATGTTTCCCTCAAAACTCTTGCAACTGAAGTTGTATATAAAAATAATATTCTAGGAGACAGGGCTGTATAGTTATATATTATTTTGTCTTCCTTAGTTTGTCCGACATTATTATCTATAGCAGCAGCAGGTCAGGACGATTGACACAGTCCCTCGGCCCCCCTCTCTGTATATTGACCCCTGTGATAAGCTGCTATGTCAGACCCTGACTGTGGCTGACAGCAGTTTATAGTGTGTCCCTGCTGGCAGTGAGGCAGAATGCTGCGGTCCCAGAATAGGTCTCTCTGTCACGGATCCACAGCAGCTGTTAGCAGCACATAGCGCCCTGGTTACTATTCTGAAGTCTGGACGTTAACGAGGACAACGTCTTCATCGAATACTGGCTGCTGAATGTATATCTGCAGAGCCCAACGCAAAGACGAGTGTTTGTCTCTGATTTATTGTCATCCATCTTTAACATCGTTTCAATTTTATAACAAATTTCAGTGAGTAAGAGAGTTGCTGTGTCACATTAAGAGCTGGATGAGAAGAAAAGTTTGTGGGAAAACTGAATGAAAATGCAATTTATCAGTAAATGTAAAGATTAAAGGTACAAACTATAAGCTTTTAGCTTAGCTCAAGCTGTAACTAAAGTCTGACTTTTTGTGCTTCACGAAAAGTATTTTTTGTCCCTTCCTGTATTTTTATTTATTCACTGCATGAATAAACCCTTTCCACAAAGGATTTACTTCTATAAACTGCTTGGGCTTATTTTTAATCATGGAATATATTTTATAGAAAATGAAATTGTTGCCCTCAATACAAGAGAAGGAAGTAAGAAAATTAAGTAATTCAAGAGCACAATTTGTCAAAGGTTAAACGATTACTTTAAGAAATTTGAAAACTTATATAAAACGTGGATAGTGAAAGGGCTGGATCAACCTCCACTGAGCAGCTTTTATTGTGCTTCAGTGGTGCCAAACAAATTTGTAATTAATCAAAGTACCAGAGATTAATTGTCGTATAGCAAAAACGGTTCACACACTGCAGACTCTGAATGTTTCTGATTTAGGCAGCTGCTCAAATTTCGACACTATTCTCCTCTTGTCTGACCAAAGCTGCACTCAGACAGCCTGCAGCGATGTACAGAGTCTTTGATCGCCGTTAAAAGTCCTCTGAGTTCAGAGCAACGTCTCTTTCTGTCATCTGACCAGCTGCTTCCACAGAACTCCCACAGCACCCCAATTTAATACCATTATAAAGTCTGTCCATCTCAGCCTCCTCAATCAACACGAGAGCCTCAAAGTATTCTCACTCTCTTTACACTTTTAAAGAACGTATCGTGTGTGTGTTTGGAGATATGACACCTCGTTTGGTTTATTTTCCAACCCTTCCTGTTCAGAGAAGGAATATTTGCCCATGCAAATGTTGATTTTTAGGCTCAAAAGCACTCCAATGGTTGTGTTCAGTGGAGTGTTTCAGATTACCAATTAAAATCTGAAGTGAATCATCTTGTTTTCACTCGTCTCACCTGATCTGATTAGGGTTGTTCGATGAAAGCGTGCCCTCCTTACGTAATGAGGAAGCTTTTCTATAAATTGCCAGTGTTACAGAGTCGAGGGCTCTTAAGTGTTGAACTCAAACCACATTTCATTTCCTCACATCCCCGCTCGCCCTCTCACTGTGTCCACCGCCTAATGAATTGAGTCAGAGCTCATTTGAGTTAAGATCTCGTTGCTTGGCACAGAGTTTGTACCGCTTCAGGGAAGGAATCCACTTTATTTTTGGGACTTAATTTAATTATGCTCCAGTTCCTCGTAAATGGGAACCTGGATGGGACCCTGGATCTGATAGTCCTGATAGAGTGGGAGCTGCTCCACCTCGACATCCACTGACTGCCACCAGTGCTTCAGAGATTCTTATTTGAGTGTTGAAGATGTTTTTTTAAACTGTCCTCAATGAGTATGTTCACATGCATACTAATTATTATTCCAAATATGACTATATTCCACATTTGATAAGGGTCATGTAAACAGCATATTCAGTTTGGATATTCCTAATAAGCCCTTATTCCGAATGGAGAAGTTTCCAATTAAAACGATGAATATTGATGTTAAATGCCACCTATTTGTGGTTTTACTAGCCCACAGTTTGTGAGGCTGGAGTAGAGATGCATACACGAAAACCCACATGTTTGATTGGAAGGAGGAACACACCTACTGTAAAACAACATTGTAAAAGACTTGGATGTCAACAGGTTTTTTTCTTTATGCAGAAATATTACCAAGGACAACCTTTTCAAGAAGGTGGTGGAACGAATGAAAAATGGAGGCTGTCCACCACCAGTCGAAAAAATCCTCTTTTGAGAGAAGAGACTAAATGAAACATAAAGTATGCCATTAACAGTAATCAGAGAATGCACCCCTGCTTGTAAGCAGAATTATTAGTGGAATTTCCAATTTTCATTAGCTTAGTAGGAATATTGTCTCTTTCTGAATAAGGGCAAAAAACGAAATATTTGTGTGCATAGTCAGTGTTAAAGGTCCAGTGTGTAGGATTAGTGGCATCTAGTGGTGTAGTGGTTGATTGCAACTCCCTCTCTTCAGCCTACCCTTCCAAGCACAAAGGAGAAATTACAGTGGCCACAAAATGAAAAACACCAACGCCCCTTTCTAGAGCTGGTGTTACCCTATGGCTGGAATAAAGCCTAAAAAACATCCAAAAGTATGAAAAGTATAAACAAATGCAAAGATTTACATTTACAACAGTAGAAAATTCCTAATTCTTAATTTTATTGTTTCAGCTCTAAGCGTACTGCATTAAGGTTTAGAAAGTATTTGACAGTGTACCTCCAGTTTTACTTGTTACTGCTTATATTTTAATTTCTAGTCCCAGAAAAGCAAACTATCTTTAAATCTTTAACACTTTAATCCAAACTTCTGCTTACCTGATAGATGACAACGCGGAACTTGTTTCTGGTGAGCAGCTCATCCTGCGTGGTTTCAACCTTCTTGACGCGGACGTTTTGCTTCTCAACACGTGTCCGGACCTCCTTGACGTTGGCGCTGACCTTGCGGGTTTTCTGCAGGAGCTTCTCCACCGTGCCGCTGGTGTCGGTGTGGTCCTTGGCCAGTTTCAGGACATCGCCCTGGATGGTTTTGATGTTGTTTTCCAGCTCCAGCTGACGCTCCTCCATGCGCTGCTGGCCGGACTGGACGTTGTCGATGATGCCAGCCACGCGTTCCAGCAGAGACAGGATGGTCAGGGCACTGATGGGGTTCCCAGCTTCGTCCTCCACCCCGATGATCTCCAGCTTCTCCGGGACACCCGCCGTGCGATATTTGTGCTGATCCATTGCAGTGTTTCAATGACTGGGGACGATCTCTCACTTCGGATTTGGTTTAATGTTGTGTGGTTTAGTTTGGGGAAGGGAACCAGGGCTGTTGGAGTTACCAGCAGGGAGACCGGAGAGTGGCAACACCCAACCGCTGTGACCCAACTCAGGTCTGGGGACAGGAGAGAAGAGAAACTCCACCTACCGCTTTTAAAAAAGGCTTCAGGATCCAAAGGGAACCTGAATTCAGCCCCCATCGGGATGTGGGCCAACTCAGAGGGGAGAGGCAATGCTCACACGAACCCCCTCAAGCTAAAAATAAAAACCCTTTGTAAGGCGACACTAGACATTTTGGGAAAGCAGAGGATGATGGAATTTCCCATCCAGGTCCTGCTCTGCTTTGTTAGAGCCATGCAGACTGATTCATAATTTTCCGTTATTGCACATGTTCATGCTAGCAGCTGCGAAACATGTACATCAACAGCAGATTAGGAGTCATTCTGCAGCTCTGCAGTCACAGACGCAGAGAAGCCACAGTTGTCTGGTCTGATTACACAGTGCTGGAATGTTTTGGGGGGATTAAACATTGCAGTGCTGCCCTTTTTACTTTCCCCTGGGCAGCAGAGTCCAAACATTGACTGTGACTGAGATCTGAAGCTCTTTATAGAGACGACGAGAGGAGTGTTAGACTGACACTATTTTAACACTCACTGCTCTGAACAGAAGGATTTATTTATTCTGAGCATTACTTATGTGCTAAGTGTTCACTACATGTTGAGACGCTGTATTTAGTGGAATGATTAATAGGCCTTTTTCACAGCAGGCATTCTGAGATGAAATAGTCGGGTAAACACAGGTGTTGCCAATGATTCTCATTAAGGCTACATTCCATTTAGTGTAGCAAAGCTTTCAGAATTTTTATTTTTATAGAATAATTTATTAAATAATTGTTTTGGAAATCTGTTGTTATTTTAGAAGAAGAAGATATACTTTATTAATCCCCAATGGGGAAATTATTTTTTCACTCCTACTTTACACACTGGCCCGAAATACAATCATGCACATGCAGGGCTTATAGACATGAAACGTGGAGAGATGGTGGAGTGATGGGCTGCCACGTAGTACTGCGGTCTGTGCTGGACTTGAACCGGCGACCCTCTGGTTCCCAAGCCAAACATTTTTAAGGATAAGCTTTCGAGACTTCCTTTCATGCCAATGTGGTGTCATAGGATGGCAAATACATAGAATGCCTTTTAAGGTCGTTTTGCATGTATTTCTATGAGTTTTTAACTTTCAGGTAATCCCAATTTGGTTAGGTTTAAGCTTCAAAACTACTTGATTAGGTTTAAGAAAACATCATGGTTCGGGTTAAAATAAGTACGTTACTTACACCACTTCAGTTACGTATGTAAGCTAAGTTACATTAAGTTTGCCCAGAACACGTATTCACATCCACTCAGGTCTTTGCAATAATTGAAATCGCATTAGCATTGTGTTAGCCAATGTTAGCAAATGCAAATTTATCATTTTACATTAGCGATGGTTTTACAAAGTTCATTTTTGTTATATTGATTTAACTACTAGATATTGTGTCTTTATGCATTTTTTCTTTTAATTTACAGTTGTGCAGTTGTTTTCTGCTGAAATAACACAAACATAGAATTCATTTTCAGTTTAGTTTCTCTCATCCTCTTTATATTCAGCGACATTCAGCAGGCCTACTAAAAACTTCACCCCGATATTTCCTGTCTATATAGGAGGCTCTAGGTTACTGGACAACATGAATGAATGTTGGATCATGATGGATATTTTTTACAGTGTGGTAGTTTGGAGATGACTGATTGCTGAATGTGTTCGACTGAAGCCAGCAGCTGCTCCTGCCCCTCAATACCCCCCAACCAGTCCTACCTCCCCCCACCTTCAGTCTATAACTCTATATTTACTCCAGGATAGCGTGCCTGAGTCCCTGCCCCTTGTAGAAATGTATGACACGCACGTTGGTTTATTTTCATGCGGAGAGGCGTTGACCTCTGCTCTGGTTCCATCTTTTAGAGCAGTTTTTAATTAGACAGGAGCTTCAATTAATGAGGTTATCAGTCTCCGCCCACCTGTCAGAGGTGGGCGGAGACTGATAACGAAGACATGGCAGGACATCATCTCGGTCCAAGTTTTCAAACCACAAAGTCCAAAAGCTCCTGTACATGGGGGTAGAGATTAGTAATCTCTATAATCAGATATTTTTTAATCTTTATTTGTTCAGGTAGGGTTAACTAAGAGGTAGCCTCACTTTTGCTGGAGCTCCCTGATCACATTCACACCTGGAAGCTTTCCAGTACAACCAGTCCAATCGGCTGGCCACTGAGCTGGTGGTAATGAGTCAGGCATCTGTTTCTTCCCCACCCAGATTTATCCTGCCGGTCTAGGGATTGCACCCACGGTCACAAGCTTGCTTCCCTAACCTTTAGGTCACCACTGCCCAAACTAGAAATGTGGATATGGCTGCAGAATCTGTAGGCAGGAGACCAAAACTTCAGCACTGGAAGTGTTCTAGCTTCCGTTTGTTCCGTCTTTGGTTGCATGCAGGTAAACAGTCCATGTGGAAAGCAAAAGGCGAAGAGGCAGAACAAATCAGCTGAAATACAATCTCAGAACCCTGGATATCCATATATCCGCTGTGTTTCACTTCAGTGTGTGTGCAGTCAGTTGCACTTAGAAGCTACTGTGTGTTTGGTAGAAGTTAACAAGATCCCTCACTTGGGGCTCTATACTCTGTATTGTGATGTAGTCTGGACCCAGGAAGATGGTCATAGCCTTACAGATATATTAACCTTAGTGGATTTCCAGAGTCTTCCTTCACTCAGATAAGGTGCCCTCATTTTTGTTGTTGCTTCTTCCACATGCGGACGTAGTCTTTGGCTGAAGTTGATCAGTCAGTGCAGCGTTTGCGCAGTTGTAGGTGTGTGTAGCCTTTTGTGACTACAAGCGTCCAGTGCTGGGAAGCAGCACGACCCCTCGTTTCCAAACACCACTGTAGACACGTGCTAACCCCCCCTTTTTCCCTGTTTACATGTTTACCCACAGTTTCTGGCAGGTCAGATTTCAGTGACCTAAAATGCAGTTTGCATGTGGATGAAAGGCGTAAAAACATAAAATGAGCCAAGTTTTTTCAGTTTTCCTGAAACGTCTGCAGCATCATAGCTTTAAAAATGTTGGTGGGGACAAGATAAACTAAGAGTATTACTATGATGATACAAATTCAGTATTGTAGGGAACTTACAGCTGTTAACTTGACACTATTTTAAGACCTTTTTTTTTTTATTTGTCAACTCCCAAGTTAAGTAAAATTAAGTTCACATGCTTTTTCGGACTGACATCCTCACAATGTTCCAGATAGATTTCTTGTTGTAAACACTGCCAACATAAGAAGATGGTGTATACTGCGTAATGTAGTATTTAGTATGGAATTAGGGCACAGTGTCTCTGTAGAACAAAAACAAAAGATAAGTCTTTTGTATGCGGGAACTGAAGCGTCTCCTCTGACTGATCACACAGGTCATCTCAATAATTTGTCTTTCAGCAGTGAAATCTCTCTCTCACACTCACACAAACACACAACACACACACACACACACACACACACACACACACACACACACACACACACAATATTTTTGTATAAAAAACATCATTAATCTGTCCCAGGAAGTGGAATAAAATAAGAGTAGTGTCAGAAGAAGAAACAGTCTAATCAAGACAAACCTCGCAGGACGAAGAGAGAAAAAAGGAACATTTCACTCAAATGACAGATCGGCACTCTGGCGTACATTAAAAAAACAGTTCCTTTTTTATTTTGTCAGAGACCAAAAGTAGCCTCTCAAAGTCTACATGCAGAATATTAACATGTCAAACACATTCTAGTCACATTTAGAGAAGTCACGACTGTGATGGTCGACAACAAGTATAAACACGTTGCTCAGCGGAGGGGTGGGGGTGGGGGGGACTGAACTACGACTTCTAGACGTAGAAGACGATACAGACAAACTCCTGTGACAGAAAATAAGAATTATAAACATACAGAGAAGAACTCGCATTTTGGACCTCAGCACAGCCTCAGAGTTTCAGTTCCTCGTCCACCGATACACAACGAGAAAGACGCACAAGTAAAAAGCTGAAATCTGGTGTCACCACTGGGCCATCCCTCCCTACTGAACCAGGTAAGGTAAATGACACATCTCAGTGACACGTCTCTACTAGCCATGCACAAGAAAATACAGATTATTATTGATAGCAGCGTTAATACTGAATCACTGGGAATGCTACTTCTTTTCTGGGGATTTAAATTTAGTTTAATCTTTTGACCTCTGGGGCTTGTTTTTTTTAATGATTCTTATTCTGATAAAAAAAATTTCCAACATGGATGTATTAAAAAGACCTGAACTTCCAAATTTGAAAATGAAATGAAAGCAAGCTTGCATTGCTTGAATTGTCTTCGGACACTGTAAGGTCGGATGATGTTTTATGATAAACCGGAAAATCAAGTGGATACACTCAGATGTGCTGCCTTTGTTTGCTGTCTTCTGCAGTTGTCCACTTTTCCAGTGAGCCAAACAAGCCTACAATTAGTTACATTACTAGTTACAGCCAAAAGAAGAGGAATTACAGTAACCTGTTACTTTATACTGCGTCACTCCCAACACTGCAGGCAGTAAGTTAACAAACTTTCTTGGTCACAAATCGAACAATAAGTTTACGCAATAATTGGAGAGTTTTTTGTACTACCAGGCAGTCCAAACTCCAGCACAGCAGGGTTATATAAAACTACATGGTGCTACACAGATGATGTTATAGCTTCTTCCTTGGATTCTTGGGTTCTCTGTTACCTTAAAGGTCAGCTCTATGAACATAGTTTGTTATTGGTTAATAATGTGATTCATCATGTCGAAGCTCACCCAAGCTGAACTCCATACAAAAGGTCAGTGTGGATTTAGTTTAATTGCACTACCCAATCCACTTATCCAGACCATACCTTTTAAATTAATTGGTTTTGGTCCAAACTTTCAGTGTTATAATGCTGGCGTGAACGGGTACGTTAGGACGTTAGGGCAACTATCTTTACCCATTCATTATCCCCAACTAATTTAATAATCACATGTAGCTTCAGTTTAAATGAAGTTCTTCATTTTTTTAAGTTCTTCTCTTCTTCTTAGCCTCAGTTTTAGCTGTTATTATTCTATAGCCTAACTAGTTACAAAGTGGAGTAAATGGCAGTAGACTTAATGCATAGTTAAATTCCCTACAAGTTCCTGATTAAGAAAATACCCCAGCTGTGTTCACATCAGACCTTCAGACCTTTTCACAAATAGACGTGTTTGTGACAATTCTGATGCCTGTAAAAAATTATATGGCAACGCCTTGACATGAACTGGTTTTCACAACAGCTTAATCAGACTGAGGTTTAAATACTGCTTGAAAATACTGTGTACAATTTGATGTATTATATACTACAAGTCAGTTTCTGCATCCAGATACCAAACACCGCAGAGTAAGAAAGGATTTCTCCAACCTTCTGAATACTGAACATCAACAAATGGCTATATCATTGGAATGCAAAGATTAATTGACATAAAAATGAAGTTAAGTAATTTCATGATTACAGTTTACGACCCTCTGAGCAGGCCTCTCCTTTGCCCACTAATTATACGCCATCACTGCACCAGACTAGGTGAGCTGAATCTCCCCAACGTCCAGACTCCGGCTCAGAAGGTCATCACACTGGCGTCCTCACTGGACGCTGCTAGGAGAAGGTTTAGTTTGAGATTGATTGACGGTACAATAATTAGTTTGCTGTAAAACATATACGGAAATGTAAAAAGTGTTAAACAGTTTGAGAGTGCTGAGGTGGGACGGAAGAGGAATTTGAAATGCGGTCAATAAGAAAATTCAGTGAAAGGTTTGTGACAATTTGCAAGAAAATTTTGAAAAAGCACAAAAAATCATAACTTGACCTACAGAATATTACAAAGGGAACAAAGACACAAGAGAACAACACAGAAAAGACTATGTCATTCATTGGATGTAAAGTCCTGTCGACATACTGTTACGGTTGTTGTTTGATTCACTATCGTGTGACTTTCTACATATTTTATTTGTCTGTCTTCACTGTTTAACGACTCCATAATATTCATATGCTAAGAGACTAGTGAATTAGCTGCACACCACTAATATCTGTAAACCCTGTTTCTGATCACATTAATACCAGAAGGAAACGGGGTCTTTAAGTAATATTTGCACTGTAAAGTATGTTTTCAATATTACCTATCGACTCACTACAGTTTTTTTGTAAGGGATCCTCTGTGCTTGGAATGTCTCGCTGAGGTACAAATGCAAAACTAAAACAAAGGAAATAAAGATAATTATTCGCTCACATTCAAAGAAAAGCCTTGATTACAGCCATTTGAGCAACCAAGACTCTCTCCAGTTACATAAAAATATCATTTAGAGTTGACCTCTGTTTGCAGTCAGTCCTTCAAACCCCCCAACAGCTGACAAACTTTCATTACAATCCCCTAAAGTCAGATTTTCGGACGAACATACAAATACATTTCTGCCTATGAGCATTAAAAATCAACACAAATCTGATCCTTGTCAAAGCAAAAGTTGTTTTAGAAGTACTTGTACAATGTTTCCCACCATCAATGATAACTACAAGTGTTCTTTTTTGTTGTTGTGTGGTGCAGGTAAAGACAGCAGACTGTTTTCCGAACATTATACATTCCTTTCTTTAACACCGACTAAAACCTTCCACCTCAGTGTCCTCTGTTCATCAGTCCGACTTTTTGGATTTCCATCTTACATCAGATCTCTGCGGCTCTTAGATGGAGGAGGCGACGAGGCCGTCGGCATTTCTTTTAAAAAGTTTAAACTACACCACAGTACACAGTTTGCACAAGTCATGCGAATATACAGGAACTAGAATTAAAAAACAAAAGTTAACATAAGAACTTTTAAGTAAAAACTACTTTAAAGAAAATTATTATTATAATAATAATAAATTATTAGCTTGTTTGAACACAGTGAAGTCTTTACATAGACTTTCATACCAAAGAATAAGTGTAAACACTGGCTGGCCCCCCTGACCTCCTACAAAACATTACATTAAAATTAAAAACAAACTGCATTTGGTGATCAGCTGCACATTATTAGTAAAAAGTAAAATGATGAGGGCCGTCGAAATAATAATTTTCAATAAATAGCACATTCCAAAGGGGCAGACATTACTCCGTTAGCCAGTTTACCAAAGGTACCGTATTTATAAAGCATTCAACAAAACCTCTAATGAAGCAGTGTAAAGTAATTAAGACATCAGACATAGTGACGATGTAAAGTGACAGTGGGTTTTCACAATTCGGCTCCTTATACTTGGTTTTGCGGCAAAAAAAGAAAAAATCACGATTGCGCAAATTAATGCGCAATAATTCCATCCAAAAGCAAAAAAGGAGGGAAAATAAGGCCCCTTAAATAAATATTGTCGTTCTTCTTTTTAATGATTTCCCAGGAGAAAAAAATTAATACCACACATCTACCGTTAAAAAATGGTATTCCCACGGTGTAAGAAAAAACTTATCAAAAAGAGCCCAGAGGAACACAGCTATACCATCCGGGAGTTAGTGTCCGAGGAAAAGTGTCCCAGGTTTTGTTTTTGTCGGCGACCTCTGTTGTTTTTCGGACATTTCCTAAAGAGACACACAGACAGAGAATCATTAATTTACATTATTCACAGTCACAATAAAAACAGATAATAGGATGGGCCTTCAGAGCAATGGGCATTTGTTTTCAGGACAGGCTGTCTGACAAATGGGCCACTTTTGAACTATTGGGGTTTTGGAAGAATGGGCCATCGGAAAATTGCACGGAACTGTTTCTGTGGTTTCTCACGGCTGTGCACCCCTACGTCAAAAAACAAATTTCAGACACTAAATTGTTCTGTTGTGAAACGTATTGTTCCAATTTGTTCCAAAAGAAAACTTTATGGACTTATGCACCTGGCACGCAATTGACCCCCCCCACTCCAATAACAGTTGAGCAAGCCTCCGTCAGAACCAAGAGCTGTTCTTCATCATTCCAAGCTAACAGACTAAACACGCTAAAATTTCAGTTGCACTTCAAATTTGTAACATCAACCAATATGATCATACATTATCCAAGAGAGTCCCGTGTTCCTATCTTAAGAAACATTTAGGAGATCATTAAAAGAACACTTTTGGGAAGAAAAACACAGTGGTAAAATACTTAACCAGGAGATCCACCCACTTGGTAATTGTGTCTCAGAATTTAGTTTTGAAATTTGTTTCAGGTGAGAAATTAAATATTGCATATTTAAGTTCAATTTATCAACAACACTGTCTACTTAAAAGTTGGTTCTAAAGTGAGTTCAAACTGCTGTGTACTGAGAGAGTGAAGATATGTTTTATATCCGTCATGTGACCAATGATTAAAACATATATGCTTGATTAAGTTGATTAAAGATGCATTAGCAAATAAGGATGATTGAGCACCATGTAATAAATAGAAGGCTGGTATATTGAATGAACTCTGTACCGAGAAACAGGATGGACAAACAGCAAACTCTCAGCATTGAGTTAGTAACCGCAGCTTCTTCCTGCAGCCGTAAAACAGGATCTTGAGATATAGGGAGCGCCACACAATTGTGCAAAATAACTCCATATATGGAATAAATGAGTTGTAAGTTACATGCAAAGGTTTGATAGTGTTAATCACTTTGTGTAAAGAACAGGCGTGTGGTCTATTGGTATGTAAAGTTTCAGGTTACACCCGGAAGCGTCAGCATGACGTTGGAGTCAGATACCACGAGGACGAGGAGGGAAGGCGCCTACAGCTGATGGGAAGAAGACAACGCCTTACTGTGATGTTTCTCGCGGATGTACTATAACACACTGGGTCAGGAGAGATAGAGACGGACATCGTGAACTGACACACACTTTGTTGCTTGTCAGGGATATTATAGTCTGGACCCAGAGCTCTGTAAACGTTGCATACTCTACTGGTGTTAAGAATAAAGCTGATTATTGAGTAAACTAAATCTTCTCCTATCACTTCATTAAAGAACACGCGAGGCAAAGGGCTAAGAGAGGAGCCCCTCCTCAACAAGAGACAGAGGGATACATCCTGGTAGTGATGTGTAGGTGGAGTAGTGTGTCCACATTGTATATATATGTATAACATGTTAATGAAAAAAGATGGTTGTGTCAAACAGCTGCCAAAAACCTCTACAATGCAAAGAGATGGATATTTTATTTCCTCCTCAGGGTGACGGAGTAAAGTCTGTCTGCCGCCTCAGAAGAGAGAAACGAGGCCAAGTCAAATCCTGTTTAATTCTCCTCAGCTTTAAGCTTCAACTGTCACCAGCAGCTCCATCCTGACAGACATCACACCTACACTCTGTGTGACGGAAGAACAACGAGGCTGCGTTCACAGGCGGCATGCTCAAAGCTGTTTGTCTGAACTGTTCCTGTCTTTAGTTTCAGTTTGTCTGTCCAGAGACACACAACATTCAGCAGAGACACCTGGAAATGTGTCTCTACAACCCTGAAACACAAACTAAAATACTGAATAATATTCTAATCTATAATCTAATATGTCTGGTACACACAGATTAATAGGTTATTATTACATTATTATTATTATTGTTTCTATGCATGAGTGGATTAGAATCCACCTGTCTTTTCACCATCATCTTCCTCATCTTCTCCTGTTAACTCAAAGGGATTAAAACTAAGTTTCTGTTTTCTTCATGTGCTTCATTTTGTACCTGAAATATACTTTCATAAACTATTTATTTTTCTTTTTAAATGGTTTTCTTTCTTTCTTTCTTTCTTTCTTTCTTTCTTTCTTTCTTTCTTTCTTTCTTTGCCGCCTTACCTTGTGATGCACATCACAACAGCGACGATGATGGCAATCTGCACGGCGCCGATGATGGCGGCGATGAGGACGTAGTGGAGCTTCTGTCCACTGGGAACCACGTAGAGGATGTTGAAGTCCTGAGGCTCGTCACACTGAGGACCTTTATAGCCAGCATCACACCTGGAACACACACACACACACACACACACACACACACAAACACACAAAGAAAGGACGTTTACAAAGGTGGTATCAGCATTAGCCCTTCATCAGGTCACAAAGGATGCATTCAGGTGCAGTATGGAGTGCAGGTCATCTAGTGATTGTGTGTTTGTCAGCCCAACATATAATCCCTTGAACCACTAGTTATGCAGGTAAAATGGAAGAAAATAGACATGAAAAAGGTCATGTGTAAAGCACCAGTGACAACATGTGGTTGGTGTAAGCTCTATGGTCAAAGCTGACGTCTTTTCTGTCAGAGGCACATAAAAGGTACTGAAAAACAAGGCCTGTATCTGACATGATGTAAGCTGCATATCTGTTACGTATTTAATGTTTAAAATCTACAGGACTCATTCTGTAAAAGTCTTCTCTTTAAATGCTCATTTAGACTGAGCAAAAAGATAATGAAGCTCAGCTTGTACCAGTGGTACATTCAAACAGAAGGATGAAGTGTTTGTATATGGGTTAGAAAATTCTGCTTCTTCTTAAGTTAAATAAATTATTTAGGGTTATTAGCTGGAAAATGCATCGTCACAAAGGTGCAAACAGGATTTTTTTTTTACTTTTTGGAGACTCCACAGCCACGCTACAAACATATGATGATTCAATATGAATATGATACACTGCTGTAGATAAACCTACTAACAGTACATAGATGAGTAAGTGAGCTCAAGCGTAAACATCTACAGCAATAAAATGCAACATACACATTAATGCAGAAGTAATATTCATCCAAAAACATCAGATATAATAGTAAAACACTAACAGGGAACATTTTACTGCACTATGAGTACTTTTACATTTCATTTTGCTGATAATACTAAGTAAAACTTAAGTATTGTTTTGAATGCAGATCTTGTAGTGGAATATTTTCCCAGTGTGGTACTACTTTTACTGAAGTAAAGATATGAATTATTCTACCACCACTGGTTTATAAACACTTGACTTGACTGATACCTTACTCACATCATTGAAATACCAGTGATTACATGTTTCAAACTCATCTGCTGCAGTAACTCTGGACCCGGAGCAATGGTAGGAGTGATAATAATACAATTAAAATAATAATTGTAGTAATTTCAGTGGCAGCAGTAGAAGTAGCAGTACTCCAATGAGAGGCAGAAGGATTTGCAGGTCTATTAACATCAGTGGTAGTAACATTAGCAGTAGCAATTGAAGTGGTCACTGACCTGCAGGTGGCCATGTTGTATTTGATCTCACATTTCCCGTGAACACAGAAGCCGGCGTAGCTGTCAGCGCAAGGGATCGGCATCCCGGCGTAGAAACCGTCACCGTGGTCCAGACCTTTGGTTTCTGATTGGGGAAAAAATAAACATGACAAGAGGATCAGCTGGTGTACTGGTGAGTTCTGGAGGGCAGAACCATGGTTTTACTTGGTCTTATTCATTCTTAAAAAATCTATTTCCTTAAAAAAGTCACAGAAGCAGCTAAATATCATCCACAAAATAACAATAAACTAGCAGAAAAGAAAATGAAAAACAGAATAGAATAGAATTACATTGCATTGCATTACATTGTAACCCTTTTATCTAAAATAACAACCTCACATGGTTTTCAGTTTAGTGCTAGTTATAAATTCGTGAATGGTTCCTCTGTAAGCCTGTTGTTGCACTATTTAACTTTTGTTTTTTGGGTCAGGACAAGTGCTTGCTTGATTTTTGGCTGTGTTAGCAATGTTGTCGGCTCACTAGTTTTTGATCATGAGTAATATAATAATACAAATTGTACAGCTGGCCATATTTACCACGGTGGTATTACAATTGGGGGCGCCAAACTGCACAAATACCAAATCTTACATAGTGTTGCTTTGAATGTCCCTCCTCGATTTCACAGGCTTTAGTGGTTTATTCTTGCAATGGAATTGTGAAAGAAAATGAAAATCACAAAATAGTAGTTTTTTGTAGAATTAACATTAAAATGTAAAAATTGAAGATGAGGAAGACAAATTGTTCCAGTGAGAATAAAATCTCTAGTAGTTTGACGTATAGTAATACCGTTATGGTTCTTACTCACAGGAATCTACAATGATTGGTCAAGTTTTGTGGAAAAGTTGTGGTGATTGGACAAGGTCGCACAAAACACATGGTGATTGGTTGAATTTGCGTCCTTCTTGGAGGGACTGAAATGTGCAACCACATTGTAACCTGTGATTATTACAGTATGGTTGAAATTGACACTACAATAAGAATACTGATAAAAATCAATATACACACACACTCATATATGTATGTATATATAAATCCGGAAAATAAATGATGATACTGAAATATCAAGTAATTGTGTTGTAGGAAAAATCAAAACAAAAACTGTAGCTACAGAATTGTTGTTTGATGACCCCAGTCTCTGCTCTATGTGCAGATAAATCATAAAATACAAATGCTTTGCACATTAAAGGGTTCTTCAATCACACACAGCCGTCTCTTCACTATAATTCACTGCACCAATAAAGAAAAGGCCTACAAAGCTATCTGTACTGCTCATTAAAATGACTGATAGGCAAAAAAATTCACATCAACATGAGAAAAGTCTTTAATTACAAACCCTGTGAGTAGGAGTTTAAAGTTCACTGTTCAACACATTTACGAGTAACAGGAAATTTGGGAGATTTACAAATCTAAGAAAGCCCAATAAGTGCTGTTTCATCAAACCTTTTAAACTGTCAAATTGTCAAGATTATAAGAGACTATGAAGAACAGTTTCACTGGTTTCATAAAGTCAGAGTTGCACTATTTTTCCAACCTGCAAGAGTTTTTCACTTTAAGTAGAGCAAACTGGGTTTCAGTCTGTTCATTGAGGATTATTTCGGCTGCTGTTACGGAAACCAGAGCGTTAACTTACAAAGAGGATAATCACTAACTACAGTAACACGATACCTTCACTGCTGAATTAGTGATGTTACATTTACAGATTCAAAAAATGTCTCATTTGAACATCCTGGGAGTCTTTCCAACACTTTCCTACTTCCCCCGAGAGGAGCTCAGAGAGAGACAAAAAATTAATGACCGTAATTTGCTTGAGAGCCCACATTTAGATGTTATTTTCCCCTCAAACACAGATGATTATAATGTGAGAAATTATCACAAAATATCGTGCATAGGGCAGTGGTTCCCAATGTTTATCCTTAAGAATATTTCATGTAGTATTCAATGCATAACAGTACATACTGATAAACTGTACAATGTATACCCAAATACTAAACACAATAACTGCAGGGAGTTTGTGTCAAACAAGCAATTTGGATTAATTTTGAGCAGATTATTAAATTAATTATGATTTGATTGTGTTCATTTGACAATAATACCTAAATTACAGTACGGATACAGGGCAGAGTGCTATAGATACAAGGCAGAGGTTAATGCTGTAGATACAGGGCAGATGTTGATGCTGTAGCTACAGGGCAGAGGACAGTGTTGTAAATATAATAATAATATTTGGCACATATTTCATCTAATCTTCATCAAAAACGGTACATAGCATATTTAGATGATCAAGAATTATCGATTTGTGTTTGGGTTTCACTTGGTTGGTTTTCTGTAATAGATTACAAAACTTTTGAAGGCGTGGCCTGATGCACTTCACAGGCCATAATTCTTCAATGTTGACAGTACCTCAATCTTATGGCCATTAATAAAACCCTACCATTTTTCTTGAACACTACTCAATTACAACCGATTTTGGGTGGTATCTTCAGAAGTTAATCATGAACACTTTTTGCTTAGGCTCTTTCAGAAGCTGGGACAGCTTGCAGTTTTAGCAGATGCAGCAATCACACACATTTTCTTCAGAAAATGCAAATATTCTTTAAATTAAAATTGCTTGCCCAGTGCATAAGGAAAATGGGGTTTCTATCCTCTGGTAAAAAATCTTCCATGGGTTTAAAATTCATGAAAAATATGGTCAACATTGACCTTGTTTTCAGCTCAAGGTATTCTGTCAACAGTTTTCCAGTTGCCTCTTGTGATGATTATGTGATGTCAGCCAGTTGTTTTTGTGTTATGTGTATATGGAACACCAAAGTGGCCAATTCTAGACAAATGAATAAGACTATAAGATTATAAAATGTATAATAATATGAATAAATCCCTACATGTTTAATTCATTTGTGTAATAATTTGACAATTTCATAATTCCTATTTTTAAGAAGAACAACTCCAAGCTGATAAGCCAACCTTGCTAGTTAGATGGCTATGGGCGAGATTAGGATATGACTTCTTGGTTCATTTATAATTTTTTTCTTTTGTTAAGAAAATTACGTAATGTGGTTTTATTCATTTATATACTGAGTTTGACATGAAGGACATGTCCTGTACAGAGTTTTATTTGATGAAGTTGGACGAACCAGAAGAGGAAACACTGCAGAGTTCAGATAAACGGATGTGAACATGGCGCCTGTGAACGCAGCCTTTCTCAGCTCTTGTGTCTCACATTATCAGCTTCAGAAATGTGCTGCTGTGTCCTTCACTGTTTGTGTTGTTAACAATGCAGCAGTTTAATCCGATCCTCCTATTGTCCGTCTTTTAGTCCGAGTTAAAATACAAAGTGAAGGAACTGATGGAGCTGTGGAGGAATCATTCCCCCTGAGACGTTTTAGTCCCTGATATCAATGCACAGTGAGCTGCAGATAATAAAACCCTCTGGATTCTGTTTCATCTCCTCTTTGATCTCCAAACTCCACACTAGCATCGTGGCTAACGCCGCAAAATGTCCTCGTTCTTCTCCGCTAATCTGTGTGTTTACTTATGCGAAATTACAGCGTTGCAGAACTCTCAGGCTTAAAGACGTGTACTCACATTATGTTCAGTACCAGCAGAGAATCCGAGCTGTGAGCGTTTTGATTTTCTGCTTTGTTTTCCCCCCCGTGAGGATATCACTGTGTGTTAAGGAGATTTTCATTACGTTTTATCCTGCGGTTATTGCTCCTCAGCAGGTTCAGATGCAGGTTAACAGGCTGCTAAAAGGCCACAGGAAGTTTTACCATTAGAGGCAGGAAAGTGGATTTACGATGTGGTTATATAATCTTACAAATTAACACAAAGTGTCCGGGGGCGTTAATGTGCTGAGTGAATTTTTCCAGCCTTGCTAGGAGGGATGACTGATGATGACTGTCTGTGTGTGGGTCCAGTACTTTGGTTTAGACTGAAGCATCTCAACTATTGGATGGATTGCCTGGAAATTTGGTTTAGATATTCCTGTTCGCCTCAAGATGAATTGTAATAACGGCCTTTTCATCTAGCGCCATAAAAAAGGAGATTGCTTGGAGAAAAGTGCGAGAAGAAGTTGGACTACATGGTTGTTATTTGATTCCAGCTTTTAGTTTTACGTTAATATGCACTAAGTTAGCAGACACCTGATCGATCCAAACTCTCTTCAGACAGACCGGACAAAGTCTTAATTAAGACTTCTCACAAATCTGCATCATGATGTAGTTGTTTTGGTATCATTTTGTTCAGTTTATTGCAATTAAATCACAGCTAATTCTCAAACTGCTATAGTAAACCACATTAAAGGGAGAATGTTTACTACACTATACAAATGACCCCACGAGTAAACTTGCTTCGTGTTTGGTAGGAACACACCATTAATCTTGTTTTAATGATGTGATTCAGTGCTGATGCAGAAAGTATTGTCCCACGGGTTTACAGGTCTGGGAGGTGGACTTTAATGTGAATGAAACAGAATATTATATTATATTTCTGATCATTAGATTTTTGAGTAATCAAACTAATAATATGGATAATTTACTTTTCTTCTTTAGTTTGAATAAGAAAAACTTGTATTGTAGTTAAAACTCATAAAAGTGAAACACTAAATAATTAAATCATTTCAGTTGAAGCTATGTTATGTTCATGCACTCAAATAATGAAAAATGTGATCGATTTTTTAGATTTTTTGTTTCTGTTTCTGAAAAAGAAAAACTTTTTCTTGTTAATTTCAGAATGGAAATATATTTAACAGTGTAGATACTCCTAAATGTTACACACTGGACTCTTAATATCGGAGATCTGGCAGAATGTCCCAGCATCGGTCTCCTAACCGGAGAAAGGGTTGGCCACCTGGGGAATCACATGAGCCGACTGGTGTATCTTGCTGTCAATCAACGTATCACAAGTCATGCTCGTTGTGAGCAAATTGAGCTACAACCAGACTACGATGCTTATATTGTCTGATGTCTGACATTTGTTTAATTAACTCGTGTTATTATTCCTGAGAGACATGATGGACAAAAACTACAAAAAATGACTCTTTCCTTACCCAAGACGTTTACTTTGAAAGGACTGCTGTCGTCTTTCTTCCCCAGTTTCTCTTTATCAGCTGTGGAGGAAACAGATGGACAGTGTCAGTTACAGACATACAGACAGACAGACAGACAGACATATTGTTACAGTTACAGTTTATCTAAATAAATACAAACAACTTGTCTCTTTTCAACTCAGAAAAAAACCCTTTTAGCCTTTTCATCCAGGATGATAATTTCTGCTCAGTCTGAAATGCCATCACCTGAACGTTTGACTTCCTATCTGCTGTCTCGTAGTGTATGTGTGTGTGTGTGTGTGTGTGTGTGTGTGTGTGTGCGTGCGTGTGTGTTATTTACTCTTCAGGACAGACTAAAGGAAGTGGAGGATGTCGGAGGATGTTTACTCGACGTCTGAGTCTCGCTCTGTTTGTCAGAGTCGAGTTGGTGAAGGGTCAATCTGAGCCGCACTATCTGCTGTCTGTCTGCCCGTCTTTGTGTGTGTGTGTGTGTGTGTGTGTGTGGAGAGAGAGAGAGAGAGAGAGAGAGAGAGAGAGAGAGAGAGAGAGAGAGAGAGAGACAGCGGTGTGTGACGACAAACAAAACAAACACAGAAGCAGCAGGTTTTGGTGTGTTGTGGTTATTTTTCTGTCTTCATGTCTTCATGCTGTCTGCAGGAGGAGGAGCTGCTGGGAATGTTAAACAGACACACACACACACACACACACACACACACACACACACACACACACACACACACACACACCTGACACTGCTACACACACAGAGCTACAACTGAATACACAAACAGAAACACACACACTCATCCATTTTTAATGCTTCATCATTCCTGAGGAAATATTGACAAAACTCTCTCTCTCTCTCTCTCTCTCTCTCTCTCTCTCTCTCTCTGTCTTTGTCTCTCTCCCTGCCTCCCTCCATCCCTCCTCCCATTTCTTCCTCTCCCTCTCATCCTTATCGTCACCACCCTCACTCTCTCCATGTCTCTCACCCTTTCTCACCCTCCACACCGCTCCCTCCCTCTGTCTCTCTTTGTGCTGCCAAAGAATACAGAAAAAGGAAAAATATTTCAGGAAAGACAAAGAAAACACAGCTTACATAAAAGATCTGCTAATGTACAGAACCAATAAACAACGAATGATAACCCCGGAGCGGTTCGCAGACTTTGATTTTGATGAACTTTGTTTTTATCTGACCACAAATGAGACAAGAATTAGCTACCTAGCGTGGAGTTACTGGTTTACGGACGTGGGCGCGGTTTCATCTAAACTATTTTAACAGATAGATATCAGCATGAAACCTCCTCAGCTGATCACTTACATTTTATGTTTAAATATGCAAATTAGACATTTGGAGAAATCTACAGCCGCAAATGGAAACAGTGCAGTAAAATAAACACCTAAATGTGTATTTGGGGCATTTTCTTTCCACTAGTCTGACAGAAGAGATGTTCTGGAGGCAAAATAGCCCAAAATCTCAAAACTGCCCAGAGCCTGGAAAAACTGTTCCTGCCGCCAATCAAATCCTTTGAATTTGGTCTCTGATGCTTGGTGAATGTTGGCCGGACGCCTCGAGGAGACAGCAGATCAGGAGAGAGGGCAGGTGCTCTTCACCTCAGGGTGCTAGACACCCACACCCCCGCCCCCACCCACCCACCACCTTCCTGAGCCAATCAGACGCTTGGTCACCGGCCACCTCAAAGCCATAACCACTGACAAGAAATCCATAAATCCTGCCGGGTTACCGTCTCCTGCCAACACCCACAGAGACAGAGCTCAGAGTGTGTCTCCACTAAGACGACACATTGTGATTCAAGGTGAGTCTATCAACATAAATCACATCTTAGAAAGATACTCGGAGGATGCTCTGAGACTGGAAGAGCTCTGGGTGTTGGCACTGACTCTGAAAAACATCAGACAGCAAACTGTGACTGCAAATGAGGTTTGTATCTCACACTCCCACCACCTCCCCCTCCCCTGAAAAAATCATTCAGCGATAGATCAGAAGAAATAACAGGACTCATGTCTGTGTTTTTATCTTCCTCATTAAAAGCGGCTGTGCACAGAATTAAATATAAAATTAAATATATATATATATCTGCAATAACTAATGCAAATACCTGTGGATTTTTTAAAATCAAAAACAGAACTGCAACAATCTGCAAACTATTTACTGTTTAAGAGGTTGCAGTGTCACACCTTCCACTAATTTCACAACATGATGGTTTTGGTTAATTCTCCAGTCAGTGCCCTTGACCATCGCACTGGATCAGATCTGGAGTTGGTCTCTGGTGCTGTGGGGTGGCTTCCCACTGCTCCCAGTACAAAGGTCAAATGAGACTGGATATCCCTACAAGGATCAATAAAGGATCATTTAAAGTCCTCGTGAAGATGTTCCTGTGTTTTTATCACTTGGTATTTTTCAGGTATTTCCAGGTATTCTTAATGCTATTTTACCGTTTCTTGAAAAACAGTAAAGGCAGTTGATGACTCCTCCTGCACCCGGGGGCGTATACTAATGCTGCGTCCAATGAAACACTTTCTCTCTTATGACGCAGACGAAGGACCTCTGATGTCCTCCGGCTGAGTTTCCTGATGGACGGATTGATCAGTAGCCCACCGCTAACTGCTGTTAGCTTGGTCAGCAATGCGGCTAACCTAACTGACGCTCCATGAAATCTGTTGCTAGAGGGATAACTAACCAAGTAAAGAAAGTCTTGTTGCCTCCACCTCACTCGCTCTGAAAAAACTCCCAACTGGAAATAAAACGCTGACTGGTCCGCTAATTATCCCAATTTGCCAGAGATGTGTTGTTTGAGTCCCGCTGCTCGCCAGTGTTTCCGTTTGAGTGTCCTTGTTAACTGGAGACTTTATTTAGCTGAAAGTGGCCAATCAACAGGAGGGAGGAGACATTTTCCCACTCTACCCCGTATAAAGAAATCAGCAAAAAATAAAAATGGTAATAATACCGCATAACTGTTGAGCCACCCTAAATCACCGCAGGGGAAATTCCTCCACCACAAAATCCCTACTATGTCTCAAAACAACAAGCTAGCTTTCTGTTTCCGGCCTGGAAAACCGGATTTCTGACAGATTTGTGGAGTTGCTGTAAAATCTGTATTTACACCACAGACTTATGAACCAGCAGTTAAATCGTGAGCAAATAATTCCTCTGCGTCAGATTAGAACAGGACGTGGAACAAGGTGTGGATTAATGCCATGTGGAATCAAAGCTCAGCTCCCATGGAAACAAACTGCATGCTTGGTTTGTGGGTTAATTGAAAACATTGGTGATTAGACACATTCATTTGTCTGACACGGTTTCAATAATGAGGCTGATTTATGGCCGAGATGAAACGGTCACAGTTGTGCAGTCAGCAGTGTGAAACAACATCAATCCTGCATTTTACTACATCAGCAAGTTAATGTGGAATAATGATCTCCGTCCACAGCACTTAAATAATGTTGGAGGTTGGAGGAATTCAACAGTGAGGAGTAATGTCTGTGATTCAGGGAGAATTCTACACTAAGATTTAAACTCAATATCTTATCAATAAATGTGAGAATTTCTCATTTTGGGGATTGGGAAGAAATCTGGGAAAGAAGGGAAGAGAGGTCAGAAAAGTAGGAAGGAAAAATAAATAAAAGGTAGAAAGAAGACAGAAAGAAGTGAAGGAGGAAGAAGGTGACAGAAAAACGGGGGAAATAAAGAATGACACAGGAAGAAAGTAAAACGTGGGATGGTTAAAATGAAGAACTGCCTGCCATTATGAATCCAGATTTAATGTATTCAGGCTCATATTTGCTCTCCACACACATGGGAGCTCTTACTGGGGCAGGTTGTCTCCCACATCACTTTCTCATTTTAAGAAAATTCTCCATTTTGTGTCACTGCAACTGAGGGAGCATTAGCTCAGTGGTTCCAAGACTTTTTCATACCAAGCCCCCCCCCAAGCAACAGCATTGAATCAACAATCCTATAAACAATAAGGTTTTTATATGTTGTATATTCTTTTATAATAATGCACATTACGTAATTTTAGCCACCCTGGAACCACCTGGATGCCCCAAAGTTGTTTGACTCTACCTGATGATCTTTCATGATTGGCGTGGTGATATTGAAACGTAACCACTGAGCAGTACCACTAGATGGCGCTCTGAGGCGTTCTTTGACTGTAGTAAAGGAAGTAAAAAGAGGAAATACTAAAGTAAAAAACCAAAACCTTTAAAGTAATCATATTTTAGTCTCTTCTTTCATCTGAGGATCACTGAGTGTTTGAGCCTGAATCGAAGAACCACTCACAGTCTCTCAGGGTCTATAAAACACTTTTTATTTACGGGGCAGTTATGGGCCTCTTTCATAATTCACAGAGGTTATGGCGGCCATTTTCTGAAGCTCAACAAGCCTGGATGATGGGATTTTCCAATTTGGATTCAATAAAATGGCGATAGAGGCATCAGCCGGTAGATTTATCTGGCTGTACACAAACTGAGGCATCTGATATCTGCTCTCATACACACTCCAGTCGGGGTCAAAGGTCGACACTGAGCGGTTAGTTCTGCACACTAAATCCACAGGAATCAAACTGTTTTCAGAATATCATCATTTACTCTTGGTAATAGGATAACAGCTTCAACAACAGCATGTCAAACCTCTCTATAGGTTAGGTTCATGTGGAAAAATACGAGAAAAATACAGGCAGGATGCATGAGGGAGGCAACTCCAACCTCCATGCTCAAAAGGCTCGACGAAAATGATGGCAAAAAGAGAAAAACGAGAAATTAATCGGAACCACCACAAAAAAAGGCTAAAACTGAAAAGAAAGGTGCATAAAAAGCCCAAATCAAGCTTTTGTGTATCAGTGAATGCCTCAGTTTTCAGCCTGTTCAGCGTGTAACACTCATCCAAGTACTCGTGATCACATTACTCGGTGAGGAAAATGTCCCTGCTCCCCAAAAACCTGATTTTCTTTCATGAATATTCTTTAATCCAACACTCCTCATTGGCTGAACAATACGTTGGCGTCAGAGCTCCACACAGTGCTTCCTGCCGGCCGCCACAAAGCCGCACGTGGTGCTTCAGAAACCTCCGCCTCCGCCTCCGCCCGGTCGCTCATGCACGTCAGCAAACAGCGTGATGACTGAGGGCTTAACAGACTGTGGGTGTGGAGACACACCGCCATGTTGGAGGTCGGATACCTGCACTATAAACCTGGTGATCTGTATTTTTCTCAAGTCAACTAAGAGCAAAAAGGGGGCGGGACTTATGAAGGGTCAATTAGCATAGTGGAGAACGTTTGCTATATTACAGTGTCATTCTGTGATTGAGGATAAGATTAACACAACAGCTTCTCTCAGACAACCTGCACACAGAGCCAGCCTTCACAGGTGATAATGCGTTTCATTAGACTTACCGGTGCACCGGCCCAGATGTTTAACGTCGATCTGCTCCTGCTTCATACACGACGCCTCTCGGACCAGACAGGGGTTGTTGTAGGAGTTCCCGTCGGTGGCACACACCGGGTTTTCATTGTGACCGCTGCAGTCGATGTTACAGATGCACCTGAGGAGAGGAGTCATAAGTCAGGACTGTTTCTTCTGTCTGCAGCCTGAACATGTTTCTGCCACAGCAGCTCTATCAGCACTAAATCATTAGCTGAAGCACACAGATACTTCTAAATGAAGACACGGCTCATTCATTTAGCACAGGCTCAGTGTCTGCACATAAAGAGATAAGTTTAATATATTTTGAAGACCTTTTTCAGACACGCAGGAGATACAATTCAGGGCAAGATTTTCCATTAATTCACAGATAAATTTACATCTTTCCAAACATCTGACTATCAGCAGTATGGGGAACTTCTTTCCCTAAAGTCCAACAGAGCATGTTTAAATTAGACTTTAGCTTTTTAGGCTCTTTTCCTCTCCCCGCATTACTTTCCACTCTATTTGTAAGTAATTTGTCTGACTTTAACTTGTGCAAATAAATAGATTTCGCTCTCAAATAGGCCAATAAAAGGTAAGTGTAGCAGAGCAAAGTGTGTTAGGGAGGTTAACATCATTTTGATGAAGAAATCAACTGATTCTAATTGAATACAAATATAAATAACTGAGGTTGGGACCATGCATATTCAAATTATACAGAACATTTTATGATGTTCTAACAATAATTCAATAACAGGTGTTTATTTTAGGGTTTTTTCCAATTGGGAAACCAAATTCAAACATACTGAGGTGTTGAAATGCACTCGTACAACTCGTAAAGCCAATCCTCAGGAACAGTTTTGGTTTTTTGTTTTGTTTTTTTCAGGACTCGCTCCTCTGAGTGGACCACACAGCCCACCTCCACAAATACAACAATGTATCACATACCACATGTGGACCACATCTGGTAGTCACATAAGGCCCATATCATCAACCAACTGTATGACCATAGCTGGTCCTACTCTGGCTCTATGTTGGACCAGACCAAGTTCCAATTTTGTTACATTAATGTTACAAATGTCAAATGTAACATTGATGTGAGAAGTTAGTAGCTCGCTAAACAGCTGATAAATACATAGCTGACTGGCTCCGAAGCAGCCCTCTGCTGGGTGGAAACAAGGTCCTGCATTAGAAACATTTCCTCACCAGACGTCCTCTGAGTCTTCATCACACTCGGCTCCATATTTACACGTGCTGCATTTGGTGAACTTCTTCCCAGCGTCAGAACCCGAACCTTCATCGTCTGTGAAGAAGAAATATCGATACTGTAATGTAAAGTTCTCAGCTGTCATCACAAGAAAAAGAAAACTGCAAATGTTTTATGATGAAGAGAATGACTTCAATATGTTTATTATAGGCCTCAATGGTACAGAAAACCATTAACTCCTAAATCCATCAATTATAAATTCTGGGGTTTATTAAGAGTAATGGAATACCCTCAATCAAATGAATCCTGTTATTATCCCGTACTGTTTGAAGATGTGGCATTTTGAATAACGTATAAATCTTTATTAATTCATGAAAGATGAAGAAAGTAAAATAAGTCTTAAGTTATTCTTGACAATTAAGCAGAGAATTTAATTTAATTCGGGAAATTAAACACATTTGGGGAAAACGTGTTTGGAATTATAATTAGAAACAGGACAGGAGACAGAATCACACTAACAGAGACATGTTCATTATTGTGACACTTTGCATGTTTCGTCTGGCTCATCTGTAACGACTCTTTTCTCCTTGAACATTTAAAAAACTCTTTTCAGTTTAACCTCTGTGTCTTGGCTGCACTGTTTCTGCTTTACCAACTTTGCTTATGCATATTTTTCATCCTTGAACAACATAATCGGATTTTATTATTATCATTTCCGCACTTCTTTCCAGAACAGCGACTTGATTTCATTTCCAAAACAACCTCCAGGTCACATCAGTTTCTGTTCCGCTGAGCGCCGTTAACACTGATGACACCGTTTCCACCATCAACACGCGACATGGCTCACACGCTTTTCCATCAGACACAGCTGAGTGTGTGAAGAGACTCCTGAAGCTTATCGGCCAAATGGAAACAGAGCCACACATTATCATCTTATGATATTATTATTATTATTATTATTATTATTATCATTACAGGGGATGCGTTTAATGCCATCTCGCATGGCAGCGTTCATTTTCCAGCAGAGAGCGAGTTTGGAGCAGACGAGGCAGTAACAACCAGAACATCAAATATCAAAGAGCCGCGGGGATTATTCATGGCTGCCTTTCATCAAGGGAGCTGTTTTCATGATTCATCCAGTGTAATTTTGTAATGTAATAGAGGAAAAAGCTATCAAGAGGAAGAAAATTAATCCACAGAAAATGGCATGAAATGTAACGAGCATCCTGCAAAAACTTACACCTTAAGTCAATAAAACGCTGTGTTCAGACTTAAAATGATCTTCTTTCCTTAAATGTTATATATGAGATTTAAAACATTAATATATCAGCAAACAGCTATTCTCTATATACAGAGTCACATGGTGTCTCTCTCCCTCTGCCTGTGTTGTATCGCAGCCTCTCTGTGGTTTGTTTCCATAGCCGGTCTGCTCCGACTGAAACTGCTGTTTTTATCATCTACGTCGGTGAATTAAGGATTTATTTCCACCAAACCAGAGTTGGTGATTGTTGGAAACACTGACAGAGAAGATTTTGGTCAGATGTATTTAGTTTCTGTCCCATTGTTTTGGTCTGAGATGCTGGTGCTCTAGTGCGACATCCAGTACTTACTTACATACTTTTATCTGAATGCTTCTTCTAAAAAAGAATGGAGAAGTCTCACTCTGGAAGAGATTTCTTCTCAGTTATTGAATGAAAAATGCGACTTTAAGAGTGTCATGAATAAAATGACTTGAGAGGAGGGATGCACAAGTGTGTGTGTGTGTGTGTGTGTGTGTGTGTGTGTGTGTGTGTGTGTGTGTGTGTGCATGAGAGAAAGGGAGAGAGAGAGAGAGAGAGAGAGAGAGCCTGCTGGCTGACAGATTGGCCTGCTGTGTCTGGATGTATTGAACATGGAGAGCTCAGCCGGGGCTCGGAGGCTGCCGATCGATCGACGAGGATCTACAGCAGAGAGGCTCTTTGTTTGTGCTCGACTCTGCTGACAGCGTGCTGCTGCTGCTTCACACACACTCAGCCCACAACCAGATAAACCACGACAACATCGCCCATCATGGTCTCCGTCTAAAATATGAACCGTGAGACCAGGTTTGATTTGTCAGGGGTGTGTGGAGAGGGTGATGGGGGGTTAAGGGAGTTTGGGGGCTTGTTGTCTCATCACTTATCATTACTGGACAACAATAATAATTCTGTTGTAATGATCACTTCAGAATGAGTCACTAAGTCGTCAATATACAGCAGCTTGGTCCCTCTAGCATCAGTTGTGGAGTCTAACTGAACATTGCATATTAATTGTTGCTAACTTCCCTGCCGAGCCCTGCATGTGCAGAACTGACCCTCAAAGGGGTTACACTTGTTACACAGTAATTGGCCCTATTAGCTACTGTAGTTGGACTGTGAGCTACTGGTTACCAGTACTGGTTTGCTACACCACTAGCACAGGAGCTTTGGCCTACCTGCTTTTCAGGTTTTCAGGCCCGGGATTGGGGACACAGCAGCTGCTAGGGAGTGGGGGAAGAATAAGCCAGACTCAAAGTCGAGTGAGTGGGCAAGCAAGCTGAGCTCAAGCGCCCGGTTACCATAGCCAGGAATAAGTTTAGCTTCTGACACCGTCTGAGGCCAGGTGAGTTGATACGTGTTTTGAACAACCAGACTGTGTGATGTTACATTGTGTTGAAATAAATGAACTAAATGTTCAGTCTCCTTGCTGCTTGTTCTGACAAATTCACAATCATTACTGCTGCTTCCGCTGTTAAAAAATATATATTTAAATATTCAAAGTTCCAGTGTGTAACATTCAGGAGGATCTATTGTCAGAAATGCAATATAATATTCATAGGTATGTTTTCATTAGTGTATAATTACCTGAAAATAAGAATTGTTGTGTTTTTGTTACCTTAGAATGAGATGTTTTTATTTACAGACACTGCAGGTCGCCTTCCACAGAGTCCACCATACTGAACCATCAGGTTTCTACAGTAGCCCTGAACAGACAAACCAATCACTGGCTGCAGGTAGAGCCTTTCTCCTACATCACATCCCAGGTCACCAAATACAGACACGAGCAGTGTTCAGTTAGTTGCAAACTGCAACTTCACAGCTAGATGTCACTAAATCCTACACACTGGTCCTTTAAATTAATATCACAAACATTCAATAACTAGTCGACCATTGGTAGTTAACAACTACTGTCAGCTCACCTAAATGGAATGACATTGTTAATATATTTAATTCCACCTGTGCTTTTCTTGCTTTGACAAGTCAAAATGTCTGCTGTGAAAAGGGTCTGTGACTTCACCAGCAGCTCCAAACCCTGCAGCAGCACACGATGATGAGTGGTTAAAAGCTGACAGGATGATTCACAGCATAAAGTCCCAACAACACGAGGACGTTTCTTCAGACCGATCAGCTCACTTCAGAGAACTCATCAACCAGGACTGAGTTTTTATTCTCATCATCACATCATTTTCTGTGAGGCACTGAGGCTCGACACAGAGACCACACAGTACACACAAAGCCAGAGACGACACACACACGGTTCACATTAGCAGGCAGAAGAAGGTTAATTAGATGTCGACTGAAAAGGTTAAAGGATCAGAACAGATCAGCACAGAAGCAGCTGCACAAGATTGTACCTCTTTATTTTCAGTCTTCCTTCTCCTTCTCCTTCGTTTTATTCAGTATAGTCAAATCTTAACAGATGTATGATTTTCAAACATTTTAATAAGATTAGGACTCTTAGCCACACTGATTCAAGCTTTTAGATGTAATCGTAGGTCATTTGAAGGACAGACTCCATGTTTCTAATGGCTGCTCCATTCAGTCAAGGCTCAGCATCAGAACCGACCTGTAACCTGCATTTATCTCTAACTCACCTCTGGACTGAATAAATATTCCCCAATAAATAAAAACGCAGTGACACTTGCAGATTGTACAGGTAAACTCAGTGTTTCTAAAACTTCTTACACCGTGTGACGCCTCAGAAAATATCAGGCTCTCCCATTACGACCATTATGTTCAAGGTTAAAATACAGCAGCGTAGGCCGACCCTATTCAGCTACAGAAGCAGGAGGCAGGTTTATTCCTAATAAGATTATTTATTGTTGAATCCTGAAAGGAACCGGTTCAAGAACCAGAGCTAATTTGGTGGAAAAGAGGTCCTCCTGGTCCATACTTCTCTTCCCAATAGTTCCTGACTGATTAAGGATGTATGATATCGAAACTTAACAGATAACATAATTACCAATTCATTAGTGAAGTTCTACAATAACATCATAGTCACATTCTACAGGCAAATAATGAAGTATTACAGAAGACCAGTAGGCTGAATCAGTGCATTTATATTAGTCAACAAATGCTATAAACAATATAAGGTGAATGTACATTTTTAATAAAAAACTTGTACAGATAAGACTATCCATACCTAACTCCAGAATTCACAAACTGTTGTCTAATAAATACAGCCCTTCATGTGAAGGTCATACCACAGAAACGCTGAATGAATATTTTCCGCAGTAATCGTGACAGTGTGTGGGAGTCGCTCATTGTTCTCAAGCTGCACCTTCCTCTGACACACCTGTCACACATTCAGGTGTGCAGAGAAGTATTTTCATCCAAAATGTATTTCATAGTATTATGTGTTTCAATTGATTTATTTCATTTAGTTCATATTTCAGAGATTCCCCTGCCTACCACTAGAATCCGCTCACCTACAACCAGAGGTACACGTACCATAGTACCATAGAAGCAGTGCTATAAACCATTTTCAGTTGTGGTTTGTAAGCTGACACAGCTAGATACCTTCATTAATAATTTAAATCTGCTGACAGGATTTAACTAAGTGCTTTTCTGACAGTTAAGAAAGAGTCACAGTTTATACACTAAGACCATTTGTAAAATAACAGCCACCTCCAAACTTCTCCTTCATGACAATATTCGAAGAGTAACAAAGGTAGAGAGGGAGTGCACATCGGCTGTCTATCAAAAAACACCTCTACCAAAGTTCGGACCGACCCTTCAACCGACTCTTCAGATGAACCAATTTGACATGCCGGAATTGAAAACGAGTGCCTTCTGAAAGTGCAACAGAAAAACAATCTCTGCTTTTACAAAAATAGGAAAAATAAATTGTGCACAGAAGACAAATTGGAAGGGAAAAGGTGGAATTGTCATCATCATGTACCTCAATCTGCAGCACCATTTGATTTGACAATGATTTCAGGTCACGGACTCACAGAGCTTCTATCATCCCCATAAAAGAGGCGCTTTTAAATCCTTAATACCTCTAAGAAACTCAGTGGAAACAGTTTTAGAGGTGGATGTGTTTTCAGTTGACAGGTGTGTACATGTTTGGAGAGCCAAAGACAAACAAAGACGAGAGCTTAAGTCAGGTTTAATAATTTATCTCAGTGCATCGCCTGCAGGGGAATCACCAGCTCCTCCACTCAGCTGATGCCCTTCCACATGCAGATGGAGGAGATACCGTCTCTCCAGGGACGCCCTCCAATTAAAACCCCCCAGCAGCCATATTAAACAACAAACACTGTGGTCGGCGCTCACAGATGGTCGCAAAATGTCTCTGTTGCCAAATTTGGCAGCGGCGAGGCTTTCAGCTCGACTCCAACGAGACAGAAAATATCAAACTGTTCATCAGGGAGGCGTTAATGGAGAGGCTTTATACAACCTTTATTAGGGAGTTAATATTCAACGAGATCTTTGAATGGTGCGTTCAGGCTTCATTCAGCCACGTTCAGACATCAACAGTGATTAGTTTCTTCACAATACAAGCAGTTACTGTTTGTGGGAAGCAGATAAACTGTAATTGATTTGTGTTTGACCTGTCAAAGTGATGCAAAAAATGAAATCTTTAAACAGCCCAAAGAAGAACAACACTCACCGTCTCCGTCTCCCGAGCCAGATCCAGGATCTGTAAAGACACAAGAAACACAGTCAGTTATCTCTTCATGAACTATTATTAAGCAGTTATCAATGGGTCAGATAATAATTACAGAAGATTGGTCTCATCAAGCTTTATTTATGTCTGTAGGTGGACTTGCAGTATGTTTAATCCATAGACCAGACAAATAAAAATGTCTGTAGTCTCTGTGATGTTGTGAAGGTCAGTGTGATTCACAATCTTGGTAGTCTTGACTAAAATGGGCTAAACGTGGAGCGTGGGTGGAGCTGTGACAACACCCACATGTCACTCAAATCATCCACGCCTTAATTCTGCATAACTTTAAGTCTTAATATAATTCAAAGCAGTGAGTTGTATAAAATCTCTCGTCATGAATGGGGAAAATTAGCTCTAGAGACCAAAAGTGTTTTTGCACCAGGCTGTCAACATGTTTGTTTCTGCTGTAAAGTTGGACATTTTAATGTGGGGTTTTATGGAGATTGGCTCACTGCTGGAGCCAGCCTCTAGTGGCTGTTAGAGGACCTGCAGGTTTTTTTGCTTCCATGATGACTTTACAGCCAAGAGGGGTTGGCGCTTGAAATTTTTTTTACATAAAAGTTTCTGTAACGTATATTGACACATTTTACTCGTTTGATACTCGTACTTGTAAAAGAACAAAAGTACTCGCTGTACCGTAGTTCTCAGTTAAGAGCATTATATAATGGCTGTGTGTCACCACTCTGCACAGAGTGGGTAGTAATGGATTACAAGTAACACACGAGTAGAAAGCTATTTTTTTAAGTAATGAGAACTACTCTTTTTTAAAACCGGACTTCTGCTCTTTTCTCAAAAATATTTTTAAGCCAGTAATCTACTTTATACATAACAATATTTTCCATTCATACCTTCATTATAACTAGTCTGCTAGATCCACTAAAATGTAGTCAGCTAACATTAATGTTTTTTTTAATGTTGTCTTTAATTCAATTAAAGAAATTAATTAATTTCTTAACCTGGTACTTTTTCACTTTTACTTGAGTCATTTGTTGTTTTATAAATGCAATGCAACACGCTGGGCCGGGAGGAAATAACTGACAATTTGGAAGCACACAGTTGTGTATTGCAGCGGGTCTAAATAAACGTCCTAAAGGTCTCGTTGGCTCAGCTCTGCAGCTCCATCAGGAAATGGACTGACAGTATAAATCTTGGCGCGGCAACCTTGAATTAAGAAATGGATGCTGTGTTTGGAGTTTCTGGCACGCCGTGGCTGCATTAAGAAATGGACACCGGCTGCTTTGTTCAATTAAATTTCACCTTTATCTGCAGAACTTCTTTACAAAGTCATGATGAGATTGTTTTTCATGGAAAAGGAGGCAGAAATGGTTGGAGAGTGAACAGAGATATTAATGATTCTGTCAGCGTGTTATTGACTAAATGTTAAGAGTTTGATTTCAAACTGCGGGTGGAACTCTGCTTTAACCTCTTAAAAAGAAAAAAAACCTCTTCCTGGGTGTGGATAATGTTCATTTAGTAATGAGAAAATCGTTTAAGTGAAAAGATTTAAACTCTTCTTCTTTATCCATAAAAGCCTCTGAAGCGAGGAGGTGAAACATCCTGATGAGGAAAAATGCTTTAAGTGATTAAGCATACCAGTTGTTTAACATGAAAGCTCTCAGTGGTTTGGGGTGGACAGAGATGCATTGTTACGTACTCCCCGTCCACAAATACAGGTCACAAATATCTAAGATTTGAGATAAATAAATATGAAGTTGTATTGATCCCCTAGAGGCACATTTATTTATACAACAGCACATAAACAGACCTGAGAGGTAGGAACAGAAAATATATATATATATATAAATAACAAATAAATCAAAGTTGGGACGAGTGTCTACAAATGTGATGTATGTGCAGGAAGGATGGTATAGAGAAGGATGTCAGGGGAAAAGGTAAGTAAGTAGAGAGTAAGTAGGAAGGAAGGTTTAGCTAGAAGGAAGGAAGGATGGAAGGATTTAGTGGGTAGTTAGAAGAGAGGAAGGTAGAGAGGAAGAAAAAGGAAATTATGCAGGTAAAGATAGGAATAAGGGATGGGTAGGTAAACTTTATGGGTAGAATACATTGAAAGTTTTCAGGTGCTTTAAATTGAATCCACACATTTCATCCAGCTGATAAAAACAAGCTGTAACTAAGATGAACTGTAGATCTGAAGATACAAAACTGATCAATAAACTTCACAGTTTATGAATTAAAGAACAGCTCAAACACTGAGAACAGAATCTCTCTGAATCGTTGTTAAACCAGACAGAATGTATTTGATCTAAAAAAAAACACCTGCAGCTGTTTTTGCAACCCGGATAAACAATGAAAGATAAATGGAATTATATTTTTTCATCTATATGGTATTGATGAAAATATGACAGAAACAAAAACCAACACACTTTCACGCCCAACTCGTCAAATACTGCTGCTTGATCAGTGTCCCTCCACTTCAAAATATGACTCTGTAGGCAGTGTCGTGTCTGAAATGCTGGCACTTTATCCAGGTTGACTACCCTTATTTCTTACTGAGTACTGCCACCTCTCTTAAGCATAGCCGTACCCACCACAGAGGTCCAGGAGGATAACTACTTACTCACTACCTAACCAAACTGCAAGAGTTTCACAACGTTACTTTTATTTTCAAAGTGTATAAGAGAATATTTGACCACAAACCTGCAGACAGTTAATGAACAAACAATAACTTTGTGGCCCTCTGCTACAGATAAACTGATCCTCCCCTGCAGTCCACATGTGTAAGTCACTGTGAAGTTTTGTCTGGTGTTTGATAGATAATGGACAATAAAATGAGCCTTGACAAGATAAAGACTAGCTTTATTTATTTATTTCTTGTCCAGCTCTTTGTGCCTCTTTTGAACCTTGAAGGCAGGTGTGACAATTTAATTCATTACAAAAAAATACACCTTTAAAAAAATGATCCCAAAAGCAAACACAAAGGTCACTTGTAACCCAATTCCACGTTCAATTTTCTGTTAAGTTCATGGTTGGAAACAGAAAAAGAATAAGAGAAAGAGCCAAACAATGTTGACAATAACAAAAGAAACTTTTGTTAGATGCAGCTTCAGTCATTTCACAAACATGCATCCAATCTATGAAGCCAAAATATTGGACAAATGTCCACCTGATGATGGTGCTAGATGACAAGTCAGAAGATCACCAAAGTTATTACAATTCATCCTGAGGGGAACATGAATCTCTGAACCAACGCAAATGGTAATCCATCCAATAGTTGTTCAGACATTTCATTAAAAAACACGGTGGCACAAAACATAAATTCAGGGGAGCAATAGGGTCAATAAGATTCATCATGAACGTTTGAACCAAATTTAGGCTGGACCAAAGTGGTGGACCAACAGACCGGAACTAACAGAGCCATGGTGCTAGCATGCTGAAAAAGAACAATGGATAATTTTTGTTGGACAACCCAGTATTTCGGGAGAGAAAGCTGTTAGGTAACCTTACAGACAAGCAAGAGGCTCCGCTTCTAAAATGCTCTTGATGCGATTTGAAGACGTGTGCAGAGGCGACCTCATAAAGCCGTACCACTGCTTACTCACACACCAAAAAAAAAGTTGTTCCAATACCAGTATCAGAAAGGCCTCCGATAAAGCCTAAATGCAGGATTAGGTATTGGCTTGTACGCGTACCACATCATACCTGACACGGGACCCCGCTACTTCCCAGGGGGTCCTTGTCTGACTGTCAAACTGGAAAGTAAAACAAATGTATACGTCATTCATTCATTCTCTGTATGTATTTGTTCCTGAGACAGAACATACAATGATAGCTATCAATCATATAAGTTGTATCAGATTGGTTTTGAAATTGGAATTGAGAAGGAAAAAATGGTATCTGAACATCTCTATAAAAATTTCCTTTTAATGACACTTGAAACATCCCAGTTTGTCAAACGTATTGGAGAATCTTGTACCAAAGCTTCAAAAGGTTATTAAAAGTTTATAGAAAGCTCAAGGTTAAGGAGGAAAATGTTTTTTTCTGGTCACATCTGTGTGAAATTTGCTCTCTGCTGCAGGCTCCCATCCTCTCTGTCTCTTTCAACAAGCCAATAAAGTCAAAAAGCCAACAACACAAGTTTTAAAGAGTAATAACTCCAGCCTGAGGCTGGTGTGGAGGTTCAGACCTTCAGCTCTGGAGATAAACCCACTGCTGACCTGTGCTCAGACCCCAGCGGGAGAGTCTCAGCCTCCCTACCTCCCATAACCTCACAGTCGGATTGCTGAAAGAAGCCAAATCGCTACATTTCGTCGTTCTCCTCTCCTGCTTGGGGAAATAAAATCAGCTGAGTATTCGCACCGTCGCCTCGGCTCGCAGCCGACGAATGCTCCAATTACAGGAAGCATAAATCTCGGGTAGAGGAAATTGCAGAAGGACAGGAGGGAGGTGAGGGAAGCGGAGGGCATATCGCAGCGCTGTATCCCCGGTGTAACGGGTAATAAGAGCAGAGTGCCGGGCAGTGCCTCTTGGGAAATCAGGCCACTGCCCCTGCAGATGGAGTTGACCGCCGCCACCACCACCACTGCTGCTGCTGTAGTGTTACTATAAGTTTCCCCAACACATTTCTCAAGAGTGGGATGAGAAATCAAACCCTGACTGGCCTGCAGAGACGTCTGAATCTGCTTGGTGTTTGATGGGAAAACACGTTACATACGTTATGTAACACGTTAGCGCATTGTTTCTAGCTTAGCATGGGTCTAATTTATGGCTGCTGATCATCCAGCTGCTGACCATCCAGCTGTTAAGTATTAAACCTATAAGGTATGTGCATCGTCATAAAACCATGCCTGGTGGAATTCTGCCGTTATTTTCAGTAAAGTTAGATTTCAGTGCTCCAGCATACAACGATAGTTCACAACAGTGTTCTTCCAACTTTGTAGCAACAGTTTGTTTGTGTCTTTGTTGTTGGTGCAAATTATATTCTCTTTATTTGAGATTAAAAATGTAA